CCTCCATCCCTGGCGCTGAGTGGGCCTTCTGCGGTGGCCTAAGAGGCCCTGCCGATGGAGTGGGGAAAAGACCCGTGTCAGCCTTCCGAGACCTAGCCAGCCTTTCCCCCGCCCCCTCCTGAAACTGCAACCCTTGCTTGAGATTCAGTCCAGGAGGGGGCGTATTTTCCCCAAGCTAGGATGACCGCAGTACTTTGAGAAACTACATTCCCCATAATCCACCGGGCTCCGAGACAGGCGTGGCGTTCTCTACTTTCAGGCCCAGCCTGTTCTGGGTGAGTGAAAGAAGAAGAGGGGGAGACGCAGGCGGAGTAGTCAAACTAGAAGAGCGGGAAGGGTAGAAGGCTAGTACCTCTCGCTCCGTTTTCCTGCCCTGCGAGTTTACACGGCAGCCTAGCCGGCTTGCGAAAACCAAGGAGCTGTGCCTTCTCCCTTTCCTGGTCTCCCCAGGGGGGACTTCAGACGTTGAATTTCCGCAACATGGTGAACAGCTCTGTTTTAGAGTAGAGGAATGCACAGTATTTCAGGCATACTAATGAGCCCTACGGACTGTGTCTTCAGTGCAAAGCCAGCGCCCGCACCCAACTTCTCTGTACTTTGGGAATCTTGTGCCGTTTCTGCTGTGCCTGTGTCAGAATAGGAGGCCAAGAAAATCTCGTGGGATGCTTTGCATGCAAGTAACAGTAGATCCAATCTGCTTCCTGAGGAGAACTACTGGAGATGCTTAGATCTGCATAGTTTATGAAGAATTGACATATGGAAGTGCGAGATATGAAAGTTGTCAAGGAGTAGCAAGAGAGGGAAGGATGCAGAAAAACTACAATAGGAAGAACTGGCATCACCAGCTGATGAAAACAAAGACATTTGGGGAAATCAATTGATTGAAAAGCATGTCACTAAAACATTGTAGTCGCATTGTGACTAAAACAGTCATGAAGACTGCTTGGTCAAAGCAAACCATTACCAGATCATTACCACTTCACTGGTTTGCCGTCCAAGTGACATAACACTGAATTGTTGGGGAAAAACCTACTGCTGCTACTTTAATTCAATACAGACCCTCCTACATGCCAGAAACAGAATTAAATGGAGCAATCATGCTTGCTCACAGTAGCCCCTCAGAATGATCCCGAAACACCTGGATAGCTATGGAAAAGGATCAAGTTGGTTTGCAATTACCAGTTTGTAATATATATTCACTGGGAAACAGATAGAACCTTACTGTGCCAAAAGCAGTCCAAAATGCGAAATAAAGTGCCATCTCAATGAATCCTCTGTGCACACCACTAACTGAACTGGTGGCCACCACAAATCATACAGTACTAATAAATTGTAGTCAGTGGTTAAAAGGCATTTTTGTTGATCTATCAAGAGGCTCCTGGAACGTTAGAACTAAGATTTATGATAGTATAAACTTCTGTGGAGTAGAGTCCACTTTATCAGAGGCACGGAGTGTTCTCCTTAATGACAGACATTGGCATTTGTATACGTACTGTTTTTAGCTTTATTGTCTTTTAAACAATGTAAACTGCCTTTGGTTCTTTTAAGGAGAAAGGGGGGATTAAAATATTTTAAATTAATAAATACAATAATAAATAAAGGGAAAATGAACAATATGTATGCCCCAAACATCTGGAAGCTCAAAGTTGTCCATCCTTGGTTCAGGACAATGTGAGAACACAGACACTAATGTACAGTATCTTCCTATTTTTGCTTTGCTAGTACTTTGCAATAGGCAGGGAGTTCTAGTCTCCTAATTCTGAATATGTGCAATAGGAAAGTCTTCCCTAAGAAGCTTGACTCCTTCTAAAAATTCTAACAGGAACATATGAATGTGATCACTTGATTTTTTTAAAAGGAACTTTAAACTTTGATATTGGATCACCAGTAATATAATATTTGGCTAATTAATGCTGTAAGAACTCCTACAAAAGAAAGCAAGGTTTTTGTAACAGGTTTTAGAAGATGGAAACACTATATAGATAACAATTAGTAGTATAGGAAATTATAAGAGATAAATCTTAGGTAATGAAGTTACTCAACAACAGGGGTTCTTAGGCTTTTACAACTATTTAAAGAAATTGACCCAGAATATTCAAAGTTATTTTATATTTGTTTTATTCATTTATTTATTGCATTTTGTATGTTTGTATGACTATAATTATGTGTTAAGATGTGTTGTGAACTGCCTAGAAAGAATGTTTGACCTGATGGGGCGGTATAGAAGTTGAAATAATAAACAAATAAACAATGAATTTCCATCAAACCTGAACCTCAGAAGAGTCTTAGAGAATAAGAACAGTAAGAGATTTTTCTCCATGTGTCTGTTAAGATAGGTTGTGATCTTATTCATACTTGTGAACATGTCCCATTGAATTCAACTGAGCTTATTGTTAATTGTGTACAGTAGTGGTAGATTAAAGGCAATCCTCCATATTTGGAGTGGAAGTCCCATCAATCCTGAGAAGCATAATTAATAGCAAAGGATGATGTGCATTGCAGTCCCATGTGTGCAGAGTTCCATTTTGCCCACCCTCGGGATATACCATTGAAACTTTGCTCCAGAGTAAACTTTGTCAGGATTGGGCTGTACAGGATCTGATAACAGCGTACAATTCAGGATTTTAGTTTAGAGTGCTTCTTTCTTTGGCACCGTTTTCTAAACGAATGCTTTCTTTTTTACTTTCTGTCTGCTTAACTTTCCATCTTCAAAAAAATCGCTCTGGACACTCAATATATGCTAGCATTTCTCTCACAGTCCACCAGGCCTACAGCTGGCCAGGATCTGGTGACTGAAGTAATTAACAGCTTGAGGGTCCCATTCTTTTCTCACTTCATTTATTATCAGCATCCTCCTCTGGTCTTGGATAGATATATGACGACACAGGCCACATAGTAGTAATAGTACAGTAGTACTGTAATTCTGTGTCTGAGGAAGTTGATTTTCATCCAGCAAAGCTCACACTGAAATAAAACTGTTACTCTTCAAAGTGCTACAATATTTCACACACAAACATAATTTGTAACCCTCTCATTTTTTTCCCCTGAAGGGCAGAAAGTTAGGATTATTACATGCCCACAGTAATAACAAATGGCGGCATCAGTAGTTTGTATGTGTGTGTCTTCTGTTCTACATTTATAGATAGGAATGCTATCATTTTTATTTGACCATGATGATGACGACGACGACGACGACAATAATAATAATAATAATAATAATAATAATAATAATAATAATAATAATAATAATAATAATAATAATAATAATAATAATAATAATAATAATAATAATAATAATAATAATAAAGTAAGCAAGCCTATTTAAAGAGGTTCCATTTTGCATCTGCCCTGCCTTGCTGTGATGACTCATAGCTGCTCACCCAGCCGGTGTGTAACCGCATGGGAAATGTAGTCTTTCAGTGCCCCTTCTCTCCTTGTAGTCGCTGGAATAGTGGACCGTTTATTTCTAATAACATATAATGGTATTTTGTTTGTTTGTTTTTCATACAACGTGGTGCTTTGCTTTGAGGCAGTTCTGGTTTCAAAAACACTACTCTTCCCTGTTCTAATTTTCCAGAGTCCCTAATCTTCTTCCAGGTTCTTATTGATGTAGTCACTAATAGGATTGTTGGTATTAATTTGGAAATAATGCCAGCTACATGCTTGGTGGCTGTTGGCAGAAGAGGTGACCTTGCAGGTCAGCTAAGCAGCACTAGGAATGCTTTGACCTAATCTATACCAAACCAGAGACGGCTGTTCTGACAAAGGAGGCTGGTGAGGTCTCTCGCTCCATGGGATGCTGATTCTCTTCCAGAGAGCACTGAGGACAGCATGGCAGTGGCTTTTGATGCGATGCTGGCTCGGGTCAAGGATGTGTGTAAAAGGAATGGTTTGCTCATTCTCTCTGTGCTGTCTGTCATCATAGGATGTCTCCTTGGATTCTTCCTCCGGACCAGGCGCCTCTCTCCGCAGGTGAGCGACACAAGCCGTCGTGAGAACAAGGGTGTTGGTTATATAAGAAAAATGGGACTCCAAAAAGTTTGTCAGCCTTTACAGGCACCCAAAAGGATGTGGTATTTTGTGAGGCAAAATGTCTCATTCTAGAATGAGGGTTATTTTTTTGTAGGAGGGAACCTGCCTTAGCTCTTCAAATGGTATTTTAGAAGGCTCTTTTAAAAATATTTTCATTGTGTAGAATATATAGCTACAGGTGGTCCAGAGATCTTGCAGCACAGTCCTATTATAAAATGATGTATTGTGTAAAATGTCAGATTCTGAATCTGCAACTGACATGATACTTGTGCTTAACAGCTTACAAAGCTGAGATTGTCTGTTCGTGATATTGTTAATGCCTTATTTCCATGTAACCTCTCTTGTCAACTTACTCTGAGGTAGATCCACCAGTTTCCAAATCTAATTTTAAATCCTTAATCACTGATTTCAAAATCGAAAAGTGTTCCAGAAATCAGTGGTTTGGTTTGCACTATATATAGGCACTATATGTGCATGTATGTCTTTCCATTCTCCCCCTTTGCATCCAGAGTAGATTCTGATAACAATGGACAAATAAAAAATAACTATATTCTTTAATGTTTCTGCCAAAGAATAGGAATTGTCTTTTTCTAAAAAGTATTACATGAAAATATCTATATATCAGTTACCGGTAACTGAGAAGTGAATTTTATTCTCAATTTTATTCTCAATCTCATATTCTCAATTTTATTCTCAATTCATGGGGCATCTATTAAGCCAAAAGTACATGTTTATATATAGAGAGAAAGAGAATTTGTTTTGTACTTTGTTACCAGGATTAACTTTGATTAAATATAACCCAACCTTCAGAGAACTGAGATATTAATAGAGATGTAGACAGATGTCTTTGATTGACAGGAGCTTTAGTACCTTTTTGTCCCCTAACAGTATTTAAGGGCAAATTCTTTTCTATATTCAGAGTGTCTGTTATGACTAAAGTCACAATGTTAATGTGATAACTTTCAGTAATATTTTAAATTATGCATTTTCAGTAGTGCAATGAGAAATAGAATTGTTATGCTAAAATTCAGCACTGTAAGACAAGCTAGTGCAACCTATTCATTTTTCAGTCTCTTCTTTTTTGTTATGGCGTGCATTGAGATGAAAGTAGCAGTAAAGAGATCACAGCATCCAGTGATGGCTTAGCAAAGAGATAGAAACATGTATGTTCAAATAATTTCATAGGAAATTAGTTATTTCCTCCTTATTTCATAGGAAATTAGTTATTTCCAGTTTCCTGGAGAGCTCTTGATGAGAATGCTGAAAATGCTGATTCTGCCCCTGGTTGTATCAAGGTAAGTTAGTCTATAACAGATTTGTAACAACTTCATTCTTTGCTATGAGAACATACAACTGCGTAGTTTATTTGGTTTTTTTAAAAAATCTTTTTGGGTTTTTTTTTCCCCTCAGGTGTTTGTGCTTGAAAACAAATTCATTCAAGAAAATAACAGTGCGATGCATGAGTATTTATGAGACACAGATTTAGAAACAGTTGGAAGTTTTAGCTGAGATGGGACCTGCATTACCTGCTAGTTTTTGCTGGAATAAATGGGTAGAGAATGTGACTGTAGCACATGATACAAGCATGCCTTTAACAACCCATTGTGAAAAACTATCAGAAGGAGGGACCATTTGGAGCAAAGAAAAGCCAGTAAGGGAGGGAGTTTCCCATGCATCACTTCTTTATTGTCAATCACCGTTGCTGTCAATCATCTCCATTACTTTCAATTCCCTTCTTTATGCTTCAATCACTTTTCCTTTAAAAGACCTCTAATAAGAGAACTTTAACACAGGGAACTCTAAAACATACGTGTACACATAGTGTGGCTAGCCCTAAATGCTTCATTGCCTGCACATACAAATAGTGCAGGAGTAGAGTATTCACCATCTATTACATCTTTTGACTACAATGTTTATTTAAGACCAATGTTAGGAAGGTCTGAATATCAATTAACATACAATATAATATAGAAAGTGTTGCTTGAATAATCTCTTGTTTTGAAAATAAATGTTAGCAAGAAAATACATTTCATAATGTGTCCTGGTCCATGCGTTGAATGGGCAACAATATTGCTCTAATTTTGTATGTTGTTTCATATTACACATATACAATAATGGTGTACATCACTCTTTTTGTGTAGTATTATTATTTGACAAATATTGTTTGTTTTGCAGTGGATGTTTTAAAGATTTACAGAAAAATGTCAAATACATTTAATATTTCATAAAAATAAAACCACTGTCTATCAATGATGACATTAATATGGCAAGTTTTGCTTTTCCGAATATAGTGGAGGTTTTACATCTGTTTATTATGCTAGGTGTTACTTAAGATATGCTTTCTGCAAATGCTTCCAGGAGCAGCATAACTCATAAAGAGTTAGGTTTAAACAAGATGCTTTAGAGCTCAGGTCCAAAGTTACAATCCAGCTGTTGAAATCTGAGATATTCTCCAGTTGACTGGCCTATAACACGACTTAATCGTTGTTTCCATTTAATACTACTGTCGTGATAGTCACTGAGCTTCAGATGTCTCCTGTTTTACATTTAATTTCCATCCACTGAAAATTTCAATTTACAGTATATGTTAATGAATATGGTAGAATTTTTGTACTTGCACTTAGCAAAAGATTTCAGATAAAGATGTTAGCAACCACAATGCTAATAGATACAAATCATGCTCAGGAAATATATTGAATAGTATAGACTCTTAGTTCTGTCACTCAGATCTCCATGCTAGATGTTCTTGAGCCAAAGGATGAGTAAAGTATGCACCTTCTTTTCCCTTCTTCCCCTTGGTGAGAAGTTCCAAGAGAAGTTCCATGTTACTAGATTTAGCTCTCTTTAGACTTGATAATTCTGGGCAAGAAATGTACAATTTATCTGCAAAATTTGCTTCATTTACAAACATGCAAGGATGAGGTAAATGTAGGCAGTTCAATAGTAAGCAATTTTATGTGCTTTCTCAAGGCTACTGAAATTATCTTCTGAAGTGCTTTAAAGTAATATGTGTAGTTGATGCCCAGAAAGGGGTCTTTTCATTGGCTATGGTGTGCCTAGGCTTTGGAAATAGCTTCCAAGATAGGCCCATCTTAATCTTTAAGGACTTTTCAGATGATAGAATTTTGCCTTTTTAGAAAGGCAACTGGTTGTTTTGCTGAACTAATTTTAACACTCTCTCGCACACTCTCTCTCATATATAAATATATTATGCCGCTATATTCTGTCATTTCCCACCCTCAGTTTGTATACAGGGCAAAGTCCTCTTGCATAACTATGTACATTATGTAGCTTTTGGAGACCTAGTCCAACACTGTAACCGCTAGACCACACTGGTTCTTTTTATCTGTGATGCTAGTCATGTTGAACTCTTCTGAGGGAATATTTATTTATTTAAAGCATCTTTACCCCACATTTTATCCACAAAGGCAAACTTGAGAGATGTCAAATAAAATGTTTCATCCAAGGAATTCAATAGAAATCTGCCAACAAGAGACCAACCATCTGCTGTCAGTAACGGTCATTGATGAAAAACCTCACCAGGCCAGGCCCACAATCAGTCTGCTGGCTGGTTTAACAGATATAGGCCCCTTCAGAGTTTTCTGTTAGTCCCTGTCCCACAACTCCTTGTAGTTAGAACTCCACTTACGCTGATGCTGTTGCATTTTAGAATTAAGAGCTACTGGACGTCCACTAAAAGAAACTCTTTGTCTGAGATTAAGACCTCTAACACGTTAGTATCATCCAGACAACAGGATACCATATGCAAGACAAGTGCAGAATTATAATATATATTCTTATAAATTGTTTTGCAGGCATTGAAATCTGGTGTGAGCAGGATGCCCTATGCCAAAATTCAGTGCTGTAGCAGTAAGGTATAATTATCTTGGAAAAAATTGCCTGTTTTAATAATAAGCAAGCAGGTCAAACAAGCAAATCATATTAAAAAAACACTATACAGCAAGTTCTACTTGGTTTAGGACTTAGTGCAAGAAGTCATGGGGGCAATCAAGGTGTGTGTCTGATCACACTAGAAAGGGTCACTTTGCCAGGAGCAGTCTCCCTTAAAGCAACCCTTCTGTTTGTCAGGGAATTGCTTGAGCCTCATGCCAAAAAATAGTAACCTTACAGCTGGACTGCTTGGGCATGCATTGGGGTTGAGCTGGAGTGCTGTTCCCCCATATGTCATGTGATCACCTGGGAATAACTTGCACCACACTGTGCCACAAGTGGTCCAAAATGCAAACTGTATCCCCTTGTGGTCACACCCAGAGACAAAATCAGTTGGGAAGAAGTATAAATCCTAAACCATACTCGTATTCATCATTATTATTGGAGCTGCTGACTCTAATTTATCACAGAATTGCTCTTAAATAATACATCTTATATAAATTAGAGTCAGCAGCCATTAATGTATTACTGTACCTTTTGCCTTAAAATGAAGGATGAATGTGATCCACATAGCCATAAAAATCTTCCTTATATAGTTCCAGCTGAGATGAGTATTAGTAGGTCAATGACTGGGTTAAATTGAACCAATCAGTCCATCAAATGTGTTAGCATTACTGTATTTACATATAAAATTAAAAGAGCAGGTTATATTAGATAAGTCATGAAGCAGAGGAGTAAAGAAGGTGAAGGAGAGGCTTCATGAGCCTCGTGGCGCAGTGGTTAAAACGCTGTACTGCAGCTAAAACTGTGCTCACGACCTGGGGTTCAAATCCCAGGTAGCCGGCTCAAGGTTGACTCAGCCTTCCATCCTTCTGAGGTCGGTAAAATGAGTACCCAGCTTGCTGGGGGGGGGGCAATGTGTAGCCTGTATAATTAAAATTGTAAACCGCCCGGAGAGTGCTTGTAGCGCTATGGGGCGGTATAGAAGTCCAAAAAATAAATAATAAATAAATAAATTCTAGCCTTCTCCCCTTGCATGCCATCTCTCTCCTTAGTCCATTATTTCAGTCAGTTATACTTTACTTTGCTTTTATTAGACTTGTACCCTGCCCCCCTAGACAAGGTCTACTCGGGGTGGCTTACATAAATAATAAAACACAACAGTATAACAAACATAATGAAATCCTTCAAGCCTCAAAACTTAACACTTATTACTAAATACATTGCCAAGATGGAATAGTTAAAGAAACAGAAAAATCAGTTAATTTTCTCCATTCTTGGCTCACTTTTAACAGCTGGCTGGGGGGGGGAAGGGCCTAGATTGATAAACCTGACTTCACCCCACCAACCACCTGTATTTCTTTTACATTTAAAGTTCAATTTCCTTCTGTCTTTGACACAAGCACTGCACTTCATAACAGGGTAAAAGGTAAAGGTTCCCCTTGACATTTTTAGTCCAGTCGTGTCCGACTCTAGGGGGTGGCGCTCATCCCGGTTTTCAAGCCGTAGAGCCAGCGCCTATCCGAAGACAGTTTTTGTTGTCATGTGGCCAGCGTGACTAGAGAACGCCGTTTTACCTTCCCACCGAGGAGGTACCTATTTATCTACTCGTATTTACATGCTTTAGATCTGCTAGGTTGGCGAGGAGCTGGGACAAAGCGACAGGAGCTCACTCTGTCGTGTGGATTCGATCTTAAGACTGCTGGTCTTCTGACCCGGAAATAAGCACACATATGTCACTAACATGTGTATGGCATCTTAACATGTTCCTTCTTTCCTAACTAGAGCAAAACAGATATTATAGCAAATCATTATTCTCCTGTGTTTGTTTGCCAGAGTACATTATTACCAACATGGCAATAGTCAAGTAATTGTGAAACAGCAGAGAAAATTTATAAACCAATGTTCCTTTTTAATTTCCTTTGATGGGGTGCCTCTAACTTTGCCATTCATCCTTTTTCTCTTCCATGAGTGATGGACCTGCTGAGACAAGGCAGGACTGGGAAAATCCTATCATTAGAAAAGTTTTACCCACTTCCTCTGCATTTTTAAATGATGAGTTTCCATTCAGTATCTTAAGCCCAAGCCTCTTCTAGTCACTGATTATTTTCCCCTGAGGTCAGGTTCTTTTTCAGACCTGGTGGCCATCTGTTCCTACTACTTTAATACATTTGGCTCTGAATAATTTGGTGTTTGATAAGATTGAGCTAGAGTTAAATCCAATCAAACAATGTGGGGGGGGGAATCATAACTTAATAAGCTTTGATATTGTTTTATGCTGTATACCAGCATATAACTAGAGAGTATTCATTAAATTTGGTTTCATTACTATCTGCATATCCATTGAATGCAATGGATTCTAACTAGTTAGAATAGATTTTTACATACATGTGCTAGGAAATCA